CACCTATTGCCCTACGGCCTCTGGGAGAAAAACTTTATATATAGACTCATTAATTTAATAATGACAGGACAACAGGCAGTGTCAATAAGCAAACAACGCACAGTCTGTATTAGAATCTGAAAAGTAGCTTAAATGCTACTAGGTTCAACAGAGAGTTAAACTGAAAACCTATGACTTTCCATTGTTCTCCCTTCACAGCAGGCTGGAGGGCTCATCCAAGGACAGCCTGTTACACTTTTAAAAACATAGGTTATGTTTTAACATGTTTAACATGTAAAATTACATGTAATTGCCTTTTTGGTAAACCTGAAAATAGCAACTCAAAATAAGGAAGATTCTGAAGGTGCCACCCCTCCCCCCCGCCCCACCTCCCGCTGCCCCAACTGAATCCTTTTACAGCTTTTGGATTTCAGCCTCTGGGCTATAATTCCTATTACACTACTGGGGCAAATCGTTTTCTGCCCTTTCCAATGTCAAAAATAAGCCTGTCAAATTAGAATGATTTACAGTTAGCAGGCCTAACCTTTACTAAAAGCAAGGTAAAAATCCTAACTACATCATGTAGTCCTAATGTCAGCTGGCATGATAATATAATTAAAACCCAAAATTAATATCCCCGACTGCCCCCTTCCCTTGCCCAAGATGAGCTATTCAATAACATCTGATACAAAGGACTCATCCTCCTACAGGTACAAGGAAATGTGCAGTGGCGTGAACTGATGGGCAGAGGAACATGCACAGTGTCATATTTGCAAGGGAGATATTCAAGTTTAGTCACCATACTGAGGACATGTGCCCACACAGTGAATTAAATGTTAGCGCGTGCCCTACTTCCCAAGAGAAAGGGTCAAAGCAATATCCACGCAAAGCCCAGACTCTCGGTATGCCTTTAGCTTTTGGGGCCCACAAGTGCCATTTCTAACAACCACCTTCCCGACCAATTGTGGTCAAAGGATCATGTTTTTAGGAACGTGCTCTATGACAGTGGGTGGGACCCTTTATAAGTGTAGCCTGGGAAGGTTGTTTGTAGGAACCTGAAGTGAATAACTTATTTTTAACTCACATTTCTGATCCCTGTTACTCTCTGAACTATGACTGTATGCCCCAGATCAGCTTTGAATCTTATTGCTAGATTCTCTAGTCTGCTCACAAGACAAATGCACCTAACCTTTGACTACACATCGCCAGAAGTAGTGGTGAGGGAGAATCAGATTTGACAAACTCCTGATGGCGAAACTGCTCCACAGGTGCGCCTCCGACCTCAGGGGTGGATGGATGGGAGTCAGGAAAGCCAACGACCCCAGAGCGAGTTCCTCGGGGAGGCCTGTACTGAGCCTGAACAAGCCCTGCTCAGATGGGAGAAGCTGCTTTCATGACACAGTGCTGTCATCAGGGATGAGATTCTTCTGAAAGCTTCCAGAATACACATGATTTTCATAACTTCTTGGATGTAAAGAGAGAACTAAGAATGGAAAATCAACAGTGGCATAAAAACATAAAGTTTGTATTTTTTCCAAATATCACTCGAAACTGGATTCCACTTGCCACTTTTCTGAATTGTGCTCAACATGAGAGGCCGGAGAGGAAAATCAGAGTCTGCGGTTCTTTCTTGAGGCTGGGAGGTTGGGGGGCCGGGCGGAAGGAGGGATAGAACCAGGGGCTATAAGGTTATTTCCAACCATGACTCGCCCTCTTTTCTGCTGGTAGAGATGGGAATCTGGGCGTAACACCTGTCCTAGTCAGTAGAAAACAGGTCACCAGCGGAGGGTAGAGGGGCCAAGCCCCCTGTGACGTTGGGCAGCAATGAGAGGTCTGGCAAGCTCTGAATATGAGACTTCAGTTCCTTACGGACCTGGGTTACCCGAGCAAGCTTCTGTTTATATTCCTGAGGAGACAAAGAGAAGACAGTGCAGTTAAGCCTGTGTGTGCAGACGGTCAGGTTTAAGGAGCGGGTACAGACACTCTCACCCCCTTGCTATTTTCTCCCCACTGGACTGCCCCTCTCCTATTCAGCTAAAAGGACAATGCTAGGGTTTTCAAACTCTCAAAAGGTAAAACTTTATATAAAAAAAGAAAGTAGAGTTCAGTACTGGCAACAGTATTAAATGGTATTTAACTTATTATTAGCACTTGAGATTTAGGAGTAAAAAATAGTGACATTTTTTCTTTTATTTGCTTTTTAATTATTTCAAAATGCCTTATAAAATAAAAAACAGATGCTCAGGCTTTACAATTATTTTCAGGGCTATACCTAGACATGGCTAGAAAAATCAGTATAAAGCTAGACTTTCTGTGTTAAACTTAGAGATCAACCTAGACTTATTCAGACAAGGACTACAGGAACTCAGAACGCCCAATGCCACCATCTGTGACTAGGGCTTCCTTATTCCATACCTGAGTAACTGCAACAAGTCCCCGAGAAAGCTTCCACTAGTCTCCCCTAAACATGCCAGACTTATCTTACAAAAGCCCAGGTTTCACCAAGTCACTCTTGCAGAAAGTGAAGCCTGGCAATCGCACCATCTCCATGACTCCAACTGTATTTCTCACAACTTCCAAACCCCCTATGCACAGGCTACTACTGCCTGCCTGGGCCATTTACTCAGGATTCTCTTAAAGCCTTGAGGGGAACGCAAACCCTTCTTCTCCTGGTCCCTGCAAAGTCCTGCCTCTACTCCTTGGCCTACTCGCTGTGTCCCATCTCTCTAGGAAAACCTTTCCTCCTCGTCCAGGAGACTCGTCCCCATCTCTGCCTGCTCTGGAGCCCTCCTGTGCACTGAGAGTGCATCTGGGCCCCTAATAGGCTGCTCTTAGGCGCTCTCTCCATTCATGTTAGACTTCCACGTACCCCTAAAATAGAACTCTCCTGATGACAGGATCTGGGTATACTATTTTCTTTCCTTGGTTCCCAGCTAAAGGTCCTCTTGATAAGTTTGTATGGAATAACCACCCTGGGCCACATGAGGTGTGCTGGTTTATGGGCTCAGGGCTTGTCTTTTTCCCTCTAGCTGTGCCACTCTCCTGGGTGTTTCTGCAAAGACAAGGATGTTCCTGAGGCTGGGTCCTTGCTGACTAAAGCCTCCTGCAGAAATGTGACAGAAAGCACTGGGGTGAGACTCAAAGACCTGGGTTTAGTACTGACTCTGACTCTAACTTGCTCTGTGACTGTGGATGTGTTCCCTCTCTTCCTACATCTTCACCTTCTTTATCTGAAAATGAAAGAACTGGACCACATTCAAGATCTTTCTTCAAGTTCTAAACACCTTCATGTCAGACACCTTATGTACACTTGGAGAGGCAGAAGGTTTGAAGACACAAGCCTAAGCACTTCTGGGAAGAGTGATAAGACAGGAAATAGATTAAAGTGGCCTACACTTAGTTCAAGCTGTAAAGACAAAGTCCAAATAAGGAGTGGGAGAGGGGAATCTGGATGCGGGCAGGGAGGCTCTACCCTCTTACTATGGCAGGCAGCCAGCCTTCCACCTGAAATAAGCTGCTCGCACAGAAAGCCAATGAAGAGACAGGGGAGGAGAGTACGCTCTCTTGGTACCCCACCATTCCTTTCTTTTGTAGACTTAATATGACTAAAACAGTGACTTAGATAAATAATTAACAATGACTCCCCTATCAAACTTGTAAACTTCAAGAGCTGCCTCACCCAGCATCCACCAACCCCAGCAGGGCCCTGTAAACAGTAAGCGTTCAACACGGTTGTCCAATGAATTAATAATACATAAAACAACATTATTTATAAGTACAAAACATTAGCCAGCTTTCATTCTCGAAACTGAAGACTAATTTCAAATGTGAGGTTCTAAATTGTCAAGGTTTCCTGTTCTCCCCTCTATGTGTTCTTACTTGGTTTTATATACTTCAAGGGGAATTAATAGAGAAGACAGATTCTCTATTATAGGTCATGGAATCACTTAATTAACTTCTCCTGAATTCTAAGTACAAAAAGGGTAAAACAGTTACTAAATAGTTACCACTTGCTCCTTCCTCAAATCTTCTGACCAAAGGCGACAAATGAAAGCCACATTGACTTAGCCATCCACTCCTGTTGGCTTCGGAGTACTTTAGTTGAAGGAATTCCTCAAGAACAAACTGTCTGAAAATCAAGTCTCTAGTGAGCTGAGCTGATATCAGAATCCAAGGCTTCTCACTCTTTGGTGATCCTCAGACTAGCTTAGCAAGCCCTGCTCCGAGTTAAAGGGAAGGCAGTTGATCTAATTAGATACTTAAATTCAACTCCTAAATCAAATAGTTTCAAACAAACAAACAAACAAACAAAAAAATGAAATTCCATTTGTTCCTGCTGGGGTTCAGGTGGGAGGTGGTTATCTCATCATGCTTAGGCTGCTATTATATTCTCAATATATAATCTTAATTAAAAAAAAAAAAAGTCCTCTCTTCAGGCCACTATGAAAGCTGCCCACGCCTCCTCATGCCACTAGGTTGCTCTTTCCATAGAGATTTCTATTTTAAGAGCAAGAGCAGGAGTCTAAGAGATACCTAGAGAAAGGATGGGAGGTGGGACTGTGACTGAAAAGGATTAAAAAACAGAGTTGCAGGTTAATACACAAAAGTCAATCACTTTCTATGTGCCAGGAATGAACAAGTAGAATTTGAAATTAAAACACAATACTATTTACATTAACACCCAAAACAATGAAATACTTATAAATCTAACAAAATATGTACAATATCTGTATGAGGAAAACTACAAAATCCAGGTGAACAAAAAACTAAAAAGTGGAGAGATGTTCCTTGTTCATGGATAGGAAGACTCAATATTGTTAAGATGTAAGTTCCTCCCACTTTTAGCAATAGAGCCAATGTGATCCTAATCAAATTCACAGCAAGTTATTTTGCGGATACAGACAAACTGATTCTAAAGTTTATTGAAAAAAACAAAGTTAGACCTATCCGACTCCAAGACTTACTATAAAGCTATAGTAATCAAGACAATGTGGTACTGGTAAAAAAAAACAGACAAACAGATCAATGAAACTGAAAAGAGAGCCCAGAAATAGCCCCATATAAATATAGTCAATTGATCTTTGACAAAGAAGCTAAGGCAATACAGTGGAGAAAAGACAGAATGGTGCTGGAACAACTAGACATCCACACACAAAAAATAAAAATAAAAAATCCAGACACAGATCTTGCATCCTTTACAAAAATTAACTCAAAATGAATCAGATCAAAATGTAAAACACAAAACTATGAAACTGCTAGAAGATAACATAGAAGAAAATCTAGATCATCTTTGGTTTGGTAATGACTTTCTTGCATACAACACCAAAAGCATGATCTATGAAAGAACGGATAAGCTAGGCTTCATTAAAATGAAAATTTTCTGCTCAGTGAAAGACACTGTCAAGAGAATGAAAAGACAAGCCACGGACTGAAATAAAATATATGCAAACGACATCCTCCATCATCAGGGAAATGCAAACTAAAACAACAATGAAACAACACTACCCACCTACTATCTGAATGGCCAAAATCCAGAACACTGATAACACCAAATACAGACGTAGATGTAGAGCAACAGGAATTCTATACATTGCTGATGGGAATGCAAAATGTACAGCCACTTTGGAAGACAGTCTTGCGGTCTCTTACAAAATTAAACATACTCTTACCAGATGATCCAGCAATCATACTCACTGCCAAAACTTGGAAGCATCCAATATGTCTTTCAGTAGGCAAATGGATATAGACCTTGGTGCATCCAAACAACAGAGCATTATTCAGCATTAATAAGAAATGAGCTATCAAGTCATGAAAAGACATGGAGGAACCTTAAATGTGTATTACTAAGTGAAAGAAGCCAACCTGAAAAGGCTAAATACTGTATGAGTCCAACTATACGACATTCTGGAAAAGACACAACTACGAGACAGGAGTGGAGGGGATAGGGGGAAGGGATGAATGGACAGAGCACATTCATTTATGATGAATTTCAGAGTTGTGAAAATACTATAATGATGGATATATGTCATTATACATTTGTCCAAATCTGTAGACTGTACAACACCAGTGTAAGCCCTACTGTAAATTGTGGACTTCGTAGGTTCATCTACAGGAACAAACATAGCGCTCTGGTCGGGGATGCTGACTGTGGAGACTATGCATGTGTGGGGGCAGCGGGTACTTGGGAAATCTCTGTACTTTCCTCTTAAATTTTGCTGTGAACCTAAAACTGCTCTTAAAAAAAAGAAAAAAAAAGACCTATGGACCAAGAGGTTTAAGTGCACCAGCAAGGAAGGGTTAGCAGGTATATAGTCTGAATATACAAATACAGGTAAAGATTGTCTTTAAAACTGCTAAAACACATACCTGACTGACTGGAACAGCTGAAGGACCTCACTTAATGCCTCGAGGACAGACGAGCTGGTCAGAATTCACAGCGAGCTCTGACTAGGTCAAACTGAAGCTATAGTAATTTTATAGTACCCTCCGGAGATTCGGTAGTAACAAACTATAATCGCCCCTATTCCTACCTTTCAAAAATAGATTCAGCCTTTTTCCAAGTAAAGTCATCTATAAACGTTGCCATGGCCCAACAAATAATTCAAGAGTAAATCCAAATAAAACAATCCCCCAAATACAACTCCAGCCTTCGTTTGCCTCCCAGTTCTTCCCTTCCTTATGCTCCCTCAGTCGGCTCATGGCATTTCCTCAGCAGCCTCTTTCCTTCTGCACAGGTTAAGGACACAGATCCAGGAAAACCCAAGAATCTATCAGCCAGCCTTCTAACAAGTGTGGGCCACAAACTCTGTTGCTACAAGGTTCCAAACTGCGCCCTCAGCAACTCCTGCATTAAGAAATCCAGGCTTTTTTTCATGATATCACTAAACCCAACTTGAACGCGAAGAG